CTCTCTCTCTCTCTCTCTCTCTCTCTCTCTCTCTCTCTCTCTCTCTCTCTCTCTCTCTCTCTCTCTCTCTCTCTCTCTCTCTCTCGTGCGCGCGGGCGCTCTATTGCCTATTGCATCTCCCTCTCTCCCCTTTACCCTACTTCTACGTCGCAGCTATCGCTGCAGTCCCCGTCCACATTAACCCTTAGCTATGGCCCTGGGTTCCCTTCCTCTGTGCCAACTCCTGGACTGTCCAACTCGAACTCGAATGGTCGCACAAACACTACAGCAGAGCTTCCACAACATGCGAGTTCACAAGTGACCCGATGGAGCATGCTTCTATAAATAGCAGCTGCAGTGAATCGTTGTCGGCTCTTGACCAGTACCGGTCGTTGCGGCCTGTCGGCTGCAGTTTGCTGGTTCCGGAACGTACATTTTCCCAGGATGCTGCTGCAAAATTGGACTTCGAGACTGAGGCTTTCTTGTCAGATACCGGCCTATGACTTCTAACAACCTCTTCTAGCGGACTCTGCGGACCTGTGGCGCTTCGGCCTCTAGGCGTTATTGGACTCCTAAGACCCTCTACCTGGGACCTACCGGACCAACTGGGACTAAGCCCAGGTGGGACTCTGGGACTGGGATTGGAGACTCTGGTTCTGGGACTCAGGAAATGCACATTGCGTGGAATCCTTGTGTCATTTTTTGGTGACGTCAACAGCTGCGAAGCTCAGCACCTCTCCTCGCTGCTGTTGCAAGGTGTAAGGTTATGGTGGTTGAAGCTACCCCTTTCTGATCTTGTGTGTCATTGTTCGCTGATGTCGACAGCTGCACAGGTCACCCCTGTACGGTGGGTGTCTGGGTTCATGAAAGAGACTGCTTGCTGCTGTTTCTCTAAATACTTGCGCTGCATTAAGCCCAGTGAATATGTTGCGCAGATTTGCGGGTGCAGTTCTAGGCTGAATGGACCTTGTCACTTCTCAAATACTCAACGGTTTCTTTTGGCTGAAGTAAAGAAAGCACACCAGGCCTGGGAGGGGAGGGGGGAAAGGAGAGAGAGAGAGAGAGAGAGATGGAACGCTGTGTTGCATATAGAGCGGGGTTCACAGAGGGATAGTGTAATCGGCGAGGAGGTTCTTTAGGATGGAGCGATGCACACAGGGAGAGTGAGAGCAGTGGTTAGAACAGAGGAGGTTGTTTATGATGACCAACTGTAGTTGCAAGGATCTGCAGTACTCTACCTGTTTGGAAAAGCAAAGCGAAAAAACACAAAAACGATTCGGGAGCGAAGCTGTATGAAAAACAGTTGCTGGAAAGGAAAACCACTCGAACAATTAACTTTTAGTTTCAAAAATGCGTCTGCTGGACGAAATTCCACAGGTCGTATCACCCTTTTCCATAGAGGTTCCCACACAAAACGATTGCAGCGAAGAATTGACTTTCAACGTAACACTTCGTTGACGGGTAAGGTAGAAAGAATCGAATATGATCAAGGTAGAAAGAATCAAATATGATCCAAATCGTTCCTCTTGGATTGCCCTAGTACGCTGGTACTCTGGATCTACCCAACCCCGTTGCTTATGATGACCAACTGTAGTTGCAAGGATCTGCAGTACTCTATAAACTGCTATCGATCATAAGGAACGGCCCGGATAGCAGGTCGATCATAACTGCTAACAGCGCAGATCTCGCTCTGCTGAGAAACAATTCTGATTGGAGTGCGATCTGGGCAGTTCGCACAGACGGACGACCAGGATCGCCGGCCGATGAGAATCTTTCTCATCGGCCTGCAATGCAGGCCGTCTGCTTGCACTAATGGTACGTTTTGGCTGGTACCGCCCTTTGCGACCTACCTGCACCATGCGACCTACCTTCACAATGGTATCTGCACTACCGGGCCAACTTGCCCTACACGACCTACCTGTGCGACCAACCTGCACTACCGGGCTTACCTGCACTAAGGGACCTACCCTACACAGCCTACCTGTACTACAGGACCTCCCTGCCCGACCTACCCACGCGGCCTACCTGCACTAGCGCTGCCTATCTATGCGGCATCTGTGCAGTACCGGACCTGCCTGCCGTTCAAGACCTATCGTACGCGTCCTACCTGCATGACCTACCTACTGCTCTCTCTCTCTCTCTCTCTCTCTGTGCTTCGGGCCTTGGTGCTGGTGCCTGGTTTTTGTTGCTTTGTGCTTGGCGCTACGTCCTGCGTGCTTAATGTTTGGAGCTACTTGCACAAGTGCGCAAGTGCTATGAGCACAAATTGGTGCCCTCTCTCTCTCTCTCTCTCTCTCTCTCTCTCTCTCTCTCTCTCTCTCTCTCTCTCTCTCTCTCTCTCTCTCTCTCTCTCTGTGCTTCGTGCTTGGAGCTACGTGCTACGTGGTTTGTGCAACATGCTAAGTAGTAGGCGCTAACGAATTTGTGCAGTGTGCTATGTGCTCTCTCTCTCTCTCTCTCTCTCTCTCTCTCTCTCTCTCTCTCTCTCTCTCTCTCTCTCTCTCTCTCTCTCTCTCTGTGTGTCTGTCTCTGTTACATGTTGCGCCTGCACACGAGGGCCATTTTCCAGGTCCTGTGTCCCTCAGGCTGAAAGCCTGAAAACCAGGGCCTACAGGCCCCGTGTCTGTTCAGCTCGAAAGCCTGAAAAACAGGACCCTGTGTCGTTTCAGACTAAAAATGGCAGTAGCCTTTTTAGCCTGAAACGAAGGGCCATTTTCGGTCTGTCATCAGACCGACCTGCCCTGAAACTCAGGCACCGAACCAGGGTGTTAGGAACAGGCTATTTTTGGCCTGTTCCCACGACAGCTGCAGCGCCAGCCCCTGGCTCAGCTTGGCATTGGCAAGTGCAGCCTCCTGGACTGCCCGCCCTGCAACTGCAGGCAGTCGGAGGCAGTCAGGAGGCAGGCCGATGTAGTTCATAGGGACTTCCCATGCACTTCACGTGCAGGCAGGAGGCAGTCAGTAGTCTTCAGGATTCGGCAGCAGCACTCTGGAGGAGCGCTGCAGGAGTAGAGTAGCGTTAGCAGTAGTCTTCAGCGCTGGGCGCTAGTAGCGTTAGCTGTAGTCTTCAGCGCTGGGCGCCATAGCTAGAGTAGTACTAGAGAGAGAGAGAGATTGGGCGGAGGCCAGGGATATCTACCTGCAGCACCGTTGCTCCAGCTTCGTCTTCGAGGTACCTGCAGTACAGCACCATCTTCACAGGTTAGTACCTGGCATACAAGAGAGAGAGAGAGTTCTTCTTCTTCCTCTTCTCAGTCCACCATTTCCTTCTCACCCTCTCACTATCTGACTTCACTGCATCAGCAGACTACGAGAGAGAGAGAGAGAGAGAGCTTGGTGACATTGGATCCATACTCGACATGGGACTCCAGACATTTTGAAGAGAGATTATTTGGGACTTGTAACGAGACTTGGTGTTGACGACTTTCCCATTTCCCCCTTCCTCTTCTCCGTCTGATCCCTTGCTCTTCGTCTGTGTATGTCTGCAACGGGCGCCTCTTTCCTGTGTATAGCGCCAGGCCCCTTCACACTTTGTGATGAGCATGATGTCTGTTTGGTCTGCGTTGAAACATCGATTGGGTTAGTCATTAGTACTCTAGCATTCTGCTTCGCTATCTTGTGCTACGTGAAAGAGATCAGTCCCGGTCAGGTCAGGACTTGTATCTAAGTCTTCCACTGCGCTATAAAGCACCTTTTGTATGTATCGGAATGCACATTTGCTTGTTGAGATTCCACTCGCACTGCATTGTCCATTCAGTCCTTTTTATCACATTGCGGATCCTCGGTTATTATGTACATCGCCCAACTGAGCATGTAACACATCTCTCTCTCTCTCTCTCGCTGCTCCCCCCTCCCTCCCCACCCACCCATACACACACGCACACACATCCAACGCGGATTGGTGCTGTTGGTACTATGTGCTACGTGCTTCATGCTTCTTGAACGGGTGCTACACTTGATGTGCTACGTGAATTGGTGCTACGCTTGATCTGCTACGTGATTTGGTGCTACTCTACGTGCTCTGTGAATTGGCTCTACGGATGTGCAACATGCTGGGAGCTGCGCCCTACTTGTGGCTGCTCTCTCCTCTCTGTTCTTTCTCTCTCTCTCTCCTCTCTGTTCTTTCTCTCTCTCTCCTCTCTTGTCTCTCTCCCCTCTGCTACATGCTTCCTGCTACTATGTGCTTTGAGACCTTGGTGCAACCGTGATTGGTGCCCCTCTCCCTCACTCGTCTCTCTCCTCTCTCATCTCTCTCCTGACGTGCTCCCTGAACTTGGTGCTTCGCCCTTCGTGAACTTCAACGGGGATTGCTGCTCCTGAGCTCGAGGCTTTGTCTACTTCAATCAACATGGATGGCTGGTCCGGAGGCTTGCGCGCTGTTGGCTGGAGGCTTCGTCGACCTGGCGGACTCAAGTGAGTCTTTTTCTCTCTTCCTCACCTCCAACGGGCGCCCAGCACCCAAGACCTTTCCGCTCATCTTTTGCTTCTGCCCCAACCACCCATTTGCAGCTCAAAGACCAGTGAACTACTTTTTTTTCTCCTCTCCCCCTGTCAACCGTCAAGCTGCTTTTTGTGTGTGTGTGTGTGTGTGTGTGTGTGTGTGTGTGTGTGTGTGTGAGAGAGAGAGAGAGAGAGAGACAGAGAGAGAGAGAGAGAGAGAGACAGAGAGAGGCAAGGGCTGCCCATTTTTTCTTATGTTCTGCCTTACGTTGGTTTCTCCTTTTCGCCTATTTTTTGCGCTGCAACTTCTCTACTGACAGAATTCTATGGGTTCTTGTTCTCCTATAGGGTTTAGTGTGCGTCCTTAATACTGTATTTTGAACTTTTTCCTTTTTTTTCAAGGGTTTAGGATTGCCTCCGTTGAGATACGCACTGAGAGAGAGAGAGAGAGAGAGAGAGAGAGAGAGTAAGGCACCATAACCATTCCTCGTCCCACGGCCCATCCTCCTCCATTCTTGCTTTGACCCTCTCTCCTTCCGCCCTCACCCCTTGCTGCCCCCTCAGCCCTCCCTCCTTTCTTTCTCCTTTCTTCCTCCCTCCTTCCGCCAGTGGCTTTACCTTATCCCTCTGTCCTCCGTTCCTCCGTTTGGTTTCCCTTAACCTCGCCCCTCCATTTGTGCTCCCTTGTTTGTGCCCGATCTAGAGAGTGCATTTCCTTTTTCTTATCTTACCAAATGCATCCTCCTCTCTTTACCCTTCTTCCTCTCTCTTTTTTTGCATTGTGCATCCTTTCGTAAGATCTTGAAAAGAAATGCAGTCTTTACGTCAACCAGAAAAAGAAAGAAAGTGAAATGTGGTTCTTAGTTCGGGCATTACAAAAGCAGGGAGGCCGATTGGAGGGAGGGAGGAGGGAGGCAGGAGAAGAAGTAAGGCCAAGGGGGAGGACATATATGAATGCATGGTCTTTTGCGGTGAGCGTTCATCCGTCATTTTGGCCTGCAATCAACATGCCATATTTAGGGGGTTTATGGTGGACATGCTCAATGCCAGCTGTCGTGGCGGAGAATGCTCAGCTAGGCCTTCATGGTTTCATCCCCCTAATCCTTACAATGCATGTTATGTCTGTGGTCAAGGACAGACCCATTCTTGAGCCTTTCCTCATCCTCTCCTTTGCCTCTTTCTCGCAGCGTACAAGTTGGCCGTGATGGCAGTGGTTCCAATCCACTTATAAACAGGCAATATCAATCTCTTTAGAAACGCAGGCTACTTGGTCAACTTGTCGAGCAAGTAGGCTAAGGATGGATTTGAACCATCGGTTGTGGATTTGCAGTCCAATACATTACCGTTGTGTTACTTAGCCTTTCATTTGATTGATGAAAAAAGAAAGCTGCAAAGCAATGAGTTGTTTTTTTCAATTAAAAAAGAATAAAACTAGTGTCTCATCTATGTGGGAGTGTTTTAAAATGTTCATGGTGGATGGTAAGACGCTTACTCACATAGACACATTCGTATGACAAAGCATAATGACAGTGCAAGACAGATGCGAGGCGGGAGAAAATACAGACAGCAATTAACAATCCGAGCACTGGTAGTGCATCGTAGTAAAGATAATCATGGGAAACGACGACGCATGACGGCGCGACCCGATTCCGCGTTTCGACCGGTCGCCAACTGGTACTCCTCAGGGGTCATTCACCTGACGCAGATGAATCTTCGGACGGTCAACTTCGACTTATACGAACCACCGACTGCGACTACAGAATAGTAGGCTTACTTCTAACTAGGGCTGGAAGCTCGATTCATTTATTTGAAACATGAATGGGAAGAAAAAAGGAAAATTGGAGATGAATTCAATCTTGAAGTAGATAATGTAGATCGATCGCTTCTTGTCGAAGAGCTGTCCATAGTGACATGTCGAACACCTCTTAAGAAATTCAGGCAATTGGTCAACGTGCCGAGTAAGTTGGCTAAGGATTGATTCAAACCATCACTCGTCGATTTGCAGGCCAATACATTACCTTTATGCCAGTTAGCCTTTGATTTGAGTGATGGAAAAGAAAGGTGCAGAGCAAATTCAAGCAATTAGTTCTTTTAATCTGGGTGGGGATCCGGGCCGCCCGGCTGACGGGAGGACGCCCGGGGGAGGTCCCGGGCGGCCTGGCCGGGCAGGGCACCCGGTTGGGGGCAGGGCCCCCCCAAAGCAATGACCTGTTTCGGGGTTTCAGACCCCCGTTTCGTTGCTTTTGGCCTCCCGCAGGCCTACCGGGTCCGACCGGCCAGGAAAACCGACCCGTCGGGCCCGGTAGGCCTGCGGGATTTTGAAAACTTTGTGGGCTCTCTCTGGCCATAGATCCGCCATGATCAACGGCCACAGAGTCAGTTGATCTAGGCGCCAAACATCCCGCGTTCAAACCTGGGATCGGCTGGGGTGGTCTGCCACTTGCCCCCCCAGCACAATCGAAGTTCCTCCTGCGCCGTCGCCCGTCGCCCGTCGACATCGCCATCGACAAGTGCTGCTGCAGCTGCTACGACGAAGGCGCCGACTCTCCTGCTGCTGCTGCTACGACGAAGGGCCCGACCGTCCACCTGCTCTCGCTACGACGAAGGCCACGACCGCCTTGCTGCTGCTGCTACAACGAAGGCCCCGACGACGAAGGCGCCATTCTTCTTCTTCTTCTTCTTCTTCTTCTTCTTCTTCTTCTTCCTGTCGTGATCGTAGGGTTGTGTTGGACGGGCAGATGAAGGCCCTGCTGCTAGGGTAACTGTTGCAGGTAACGACTTCTTCTTCTTCTTCTTCTTCTTCTTCTTCTTCTTCTTCTCTCTTCCTTCTCCTCCTCTCGTCTTCCCTTCGTCTTCCCCTCGTCCCCCACTCGTTTTCTTTCTCCTCCTCTTCTTCTTCTTCTTCTTCTTCATCTTCTAGTTCGTCAACATTCGGTAGGTCACCTGATACACGACAGGTTAAAAAAAAAAAAAGAAGGCCGTCCTTCTCCCCCTCCTCCGCTTATTTTCTTCTTCTCCTCCTCCTCTTCTCGTCATCCTCTCGTCTTCTTCTTCTTACCCTCCTCCCCCTCGCGTTTTCATCTTCCTCCCCGACCTTTCTTGATCTTCTTTTTCTTCCCCTTCTCACCTCTCTTCTTCTTCTTTTCTTCTTCTTCTTCTCTCTTCCTTCTCCTCCTCTCGTCTTCTTTGTCTTCCCTTCGTCTTCCCCTCGTCCCCCACCCGTTTTCTTTCTCCTCCTCCTCTTCTTCTTCTTCTTCTTCTTCTCCTTCTTCTTCATCTTCTAGTTCGTCAACATTCGGTAGGTCACCTGATACACGACAGGTTGAAAAAAAAAAAAAAAAAAGTTCGTCCTTCTCCCCCTCCTCCGCTTATTTTCTTCTTCTTCTTACCCTCCTCCCCTTCGCGTTTTCATCTTTCTCCCCGACCTTTCTTGATCTTCTTCTTCTTCCCCTCCTCACCTCTCTTCTTCTTCTTCTTCTTCTTCTTCTTCTTCTTCTTCTTCTTCTGCTCCATTCGCTAGGGTCTTCTGCTCTGCTCTTCTTCTTCTTATCGTCCTTCCTTACTCCTTCCCTGCCTTTCTTCATACCCTACCGCCGCTACCATAACGCACGGCCATACCCCGCCGCCGCCTTACCCTGCCGCTGCCATACCCTACCGCCATACCATGCTGCCATACCCTACCGCCGCCATACCCTACCGCCACACCCCGCTGCCATACCCTACCGCAGCCATATTTCTTCCCCATCTTCTTCTTCTTCTTCTTCTTCTTCTTGTTCTCCTTCTTCTTCTTCTTCCTCTTCTTCTTTTTCTTCTTCTTTTTCTTCTTTTTCTTCTTCTTCTTCTTCTTCTTCTTCTTCTTCTCGTTTCCTTTCTCCTCCTCATCTTCTTCTTCTTCTTCTTCTTCTTCTCCTTCTTCTTCTCCTTTTCTCCTTCTCCTTCTTCTTTCAGTTTGTCGACATTCGGTAGGTCACGTGATACACGACAGGTTTAAACAAAAAAAAAAAAAGTCCGGCCTTTTTCCCCCTCCTCCGCTTATCTTCTTCTCCTCCTCCTCTTCTCGTCGTCCTCTAGTCTTCTTCTTCTTACCCTCCTCACCCTCTTCTTCTTCTTCTTCTTCTTCTTCTTTTCCATTCGTTAGGTCTTCTTCTCTCCTCTTCTTCTTCTTCCCCTCCTTCCCTACTCCCTCCCTCCCTTTCTCCATCCTCCCATCCATCCATCCCTCCCTCCATCCCATCTCGCCATTCTCCATCCTCCATCATCCCTCCCTCCGTCCCTCCATCCCATCTCGCCATCCCTCCCTCCCTCCCATCTCGCAATCCCTCCCCCCCCCCAATCCGTCAATCCATCTTCTTCCTCTTCTTCTTTCAGTTCGTCGACATTCGGTAGGTCACGTGATACACGATAGGTCAAAAAAAAAAAAGAAAAAAAAAAAGGCCGGCCTTTCTCCCCCTCCTTCTCCGCTTATCTTCTTCTCCTTTTCTCGTAGTTCTCTCGTCTTCTTCTGACCCTCCTCACCCTCTTCTTCTTCTTCTTCTTCTTCTTCTTCTTCTTTTCCATTCGTTAAGTCTTCTTCTCTCCTCTTCTTCTTCCCCTCCTTCCCTACTCCCTCCCTCCCTTCCTCCATCCTCCCATCCATCCCTCCCTCCCTCCATCCCATCTCGCCATCCTCCATCATCGATCATCCATCCGTCCATCCATTTGTCCCTTCCTCCATCCCATCTCGCCATTCTCCATCCTCCATCATCCTTCCCTTCGTCCCTCCATCCCATCTCGCCATCCCTCCCTCCCTCCCATCTCGCCATCCCTCCTCCCCTCCATCCATCAATCCATCTTCTTCTTCTTCTTGGACCTTGTTAAGCANCTCCCTCCCTCCCATCTCGCCATCCCTCCTCCCCTCCATCCATCAATCCATCTTCTTCTTCTTCTTGGACCTTGTTAAGCAATCTCCCTCCCTCCCATCTCGCCATCCCTCCTCCCCTCCATCCATCAATCCATCTTCTTCTTCTTCTTGGACCTTGTTAAGTAGTCTCCCTCCCTCCCATCTCGCCATCCCTCCTCCCCTCCATCCATCAATCCATCTTCTTCTTCTTGGACCTTGTTAAGCAGTCTCCCTCCCTCCCATCTCGCCATACCTCCTCCCCTCCATCCATCCATCCTTCCATCTCCTTCTTCTTCTTGGATCTTGTTACGTAGTCTCCCTACATCCCTCCATCCCCCCATCTCGCCATCCCTTTCCCCCTCCATCCCTCCATCCTCACATCTCGCCATACCCTCCCCCTCCCCCTCCATCCATCCATCCATCCATCTCCTTCTTCTTGGACCTTGTTAAGCAGTCTCCCTCCATCCCTCCATCATCCCTTCCCCCCCTCCCTCCCCCCCCTCCCTCTTGTTCTTCTTCAACATTGGTTAGCAGCCGTCCTCCATCCCTCCATCCTCCATCTCGCCATCCCTTCTCCCCCTCCCTCTAGTTCTTCTTCAACATTGGTTAGCAGCCTTCCTCCATCCCTCCATCCTCCATCTCGCCATCCCTTCTCCCCCTCCCTCTAGTTCTTCTTCAACATTGGTTAGCAGCCTTCCTCCATCCCTCGATTCTCCCATCTCGCCATCCCTCCCCGCCTCGCTCCATCCATCCATCCATCTTCTTCTTCTTCTTCTTCTTCTCCTTCTTCTTCTTCTTTTTCTTGGTCGTTGTTTAGCAGTCTCCATTCATCCATCCATCATCCCATCTCGCTATCCCTCCCTCCCTCCATCCATTCATCAATCCATCTTCTTCTTTGTCTTCTCCTTCTCCTTCTTCTTCTTCTTCTTCTTCTTCTTGAACATTGTTAAGCTGCAGGGAGAGAATTGAAGTTGCAGGGAGGAGGTGATTGCAGCACTATGGCTGGTGGGAGCAGTGCAAGGGGTGCGATTGCTGGACAAGGAAGTCGGAGGCAGTTGGAAAGAGGAGAGGGCAGCGGGAAGGACATCGCCAGCTCAAGTACACCGTCGAGGGTGACTTCTAAAGACCTCACACCGGCAACTGACCCCTCGCTGTTCGTCCCACAGCCTGAAGAGAGACAAAAGAAGTTGCAGGCAGAGAAGGAGATATGGAAGCGCGTGGAACAAGGGCAGGAGGCTGTACCGAAGGGCCAGGGAGAGTATTGGCTGAGGTGTCGGCTATGCTCGACCATTTGGAGGGGCACGAGCACACGTGCAGTTGAGCACTTCCTGAAGATGCTCAAGTCGTGCCCTTTCCGAACAGGGGAGATTGTGCATAAGCTGGTGGCCCAAGGGGTGAAGGTGCTGCGAAGCGACAAGAAGACTCTCTACCTACTGCAGAACTACCGGCAGCTGCACAACATCAAGGAGGGGGGGGCTGCAGCAAACGACGATGGTGCGGACGCGGTTGTTCGTCGTGGTTACGAGGAGCCACAACCGCCGGTTGCTGCAGGGAGGGAGGCAGTCGAGGAGACGGCGCAGCGGGGAAAGGAAAGTGCAGCGGGGGAGACGCTGCGAGAAGAGTGTCAATCCACCACAAGGGCGGCTCTGGTGCAGCAAACAACCAGCACGAGATGGGTGGACAACGCAGCTCAAAAGAAGTTGGACATTGCATGGGCGAAGGCAATGTTCCGGGCGGGAATCACGCTCAATTTTTTGAACTTGACACCACTCTCAAACTGCACGAGGTGTATTTGGAGGTGGCCAACGCACGGCCGAAGGTGAAATTGCCTTCTGCGAAGCACATCCGGATGGTGATGCTCGACTTCATCTTTTTGCGCATTCAAAAGCAAGTGCAGCCTTTGACTGCATGCTGGGATGTCACGGGCTGCACTTTCGTCACGGACGGGCCGACCGATCGGAGGGAGAGACCTGTCATGAATTTCTTGGCGGCGGGGGAGCAGGGAGCGGTGCTGGTGGCAACGGTGTCGATGGATGGAAAGAAGAAGACCGGACCAGCGCTGGCCAGACTTTGGGAGAAGATAATGAGGGAGTACGCATCAATGCAATTTGCACCGACAATGCGGAGGTGAACAAGAAGGCCGCGCAGATTTTGGAGCGGCGCACGGACTTGGCGGTTTCGCGGATACCTTGGGTTCCGTGTGCTGCGCATTGCTGCAGCTTGCTGCTACGGGACATCAGCAAGTTGGATTGGATCAAGGGCACGGTGAATCGGAGCCACACCATTGTCAAGTTTATACGGAACCACCACTGCACACATAGCCTAATGATGTCGTTGGACGACTCATTATCGCTGTTGCGACCGACCGAGGTCCGTTTTGGGTCGGTCTACATGATGATGGAGCGGTTGTACGATCGGAGGGCGATTTTGAAGCAGATGGTCGAAGGGAGCCTAGTCGGGAGATGGAAGGCGATGCGGTGGTCGACGACCAAGCTGCAAGGCGGATCTTGTCTTCTTCACTTTGCGGAGTGAGGGTTGGTGGCCCGAGTTGAAGAAGGTGGTGGAGGTGATGGAGCCATTGTATGTATTGCTTCGGAGGATGGACAAGGACGGGACCGCCCCGTTAAACCTTGTGGAGTATGACCGGCTAACGGAGAGGATGTTGGGGGAGGTCATGCTGACAGAGGAGCAGCGACGTACGGTGCTCGAGAAGGTGAGGGACCGCATGAAGATGATGCGGCAACCGGTACATGCCTTGGCTTTTCTTCTCGACCCACGGAGGAGAGAGACGAAGTGGTTGTTGGACCGGGACAGCGCACTTGTGCAGAATGCTCTGCGTTATTTGCAGCGCCAGATCGACGGTGCTTGGAAATCAGACGCCCACGCGCAGATTCTCAGCGACCTGCGAGAGTTCCACACGAAACCGACCGGGTTCAACCCCCGGCGGAAGGACAAGAAATGTGGGATGGTGATGCGGTCGCAGATTCTAACACCATCTGGCCATCGGAGTGGTGGGCAACTCATGGTGTCGATGTGCCGGGGCTGCAGGCCATTGCCATGAAAGTAATGGGCATGTGGAGCACGGCGACTCCGGCAGAGCGGAATTGGTCTTCGATGGACTTGGTCCACTCGAAGCGGCGGAATCGGTTGAACCCCTCAACCTTGGAGAAGTTGGTGTATATTCACTGGAATATGCAGCTGCTGCACTCCGGGAAGAACTTGAAGGACGCCGGCTACATCGACTTGTGGGCGCAGTTCTTCGAGTCTCTTCCGGAGCCTGAGGTGGATGATGGTTCTATTTTGAAGGACCCCGTGGAGGAGAAGGACAAGACGGAGGACGAGCTGGTGCGGGAACGGGCCTTCATCAAGACACCAAAGGGCCGGATTCCGAAGAGCCTCGAAGACGAGGAGGAGGAGGAGGAGTGCACCGACGACAGCGACCTTGACGACGAGGTGTGGAAGGGGAAGACTCCATGGTCGGAAACGTCTAGCGAAGGGGAAGTTGACGAGTCATCGGACGATGACTTTGAGTTGGGAATTCCGACGTCAATCCCGTGCACTACATATGTTGGGAGGAGGGAAGCAGCACAGCGCTGTCGAGAACGGCCGCCCACAACACCATCTCAATGCACGACGAACACTACAGCGCATTACAACATCCAATTGGATGTCGAGGTACCGCAGACCGACACCGACATGGAGATGGTGCTTCACCGCCGTCCAATCGACACAAATGAGGAGGAGGTCGACCGTGCAAAGGCATGGGCTGATGCGGATCAAGAACGGGTGCAAAGGAGAATGCGGGAGGAGGAGGAGCGACGCGCAGCTATACCAACCCGCAGAGAATTGGAGAAACTGAAGAAGAAGGTTGGAGAGCAAGAATCGGAGCCAGTGGGGAATATGGGCCGGCTAGAGGAGGAAAAAGAAGAGGCGATGGGCCAGTGAGAGGAGGAGGCAGAACACGAGATTGGCCAGCCATGGGAGGAAGAAGAAAAGATGGAGGAGCAAGAGGAGGGAGAAGAAGAGGCTGGCATGGAGCAACGAGAGGAGGAGATGGAACAGGAGCAAGGGGAGGGCACGGACCAGCAAGAAGAGGAGCTGGAGGAGAGTGAGGAGGAGCAGCAGCAGGAAAAGACGGCGAACATAGAGGAGGAGCAGCAGCAGCATGCAGTGACGACCGTGTACAAGGGTCGGAAGCAAACTGTGGAGGCTGCTGGCTCACCGGAGAATTCCCCCGACTTCCCAGCCAACAAAGCGGAAGCCCAACACGACAACCTGTGGGTCAGCAGGGTTGGGAGGAAGAGGAAGGCGCCCCGTGGGGACGAACGACCGAAGCCAAAACTCCCACGTGGCAGGCCTCGAAAGAACGCAACTGCCGGTCCGGCTGCAAAGCCGAAAAAAAAAAACAGCGGTGCAAGGCTCGCAAACAAATTGTTGAGGATGACCCCGAATCCAGCAACTGCAGCGAGCAGTTTGCCGAAGACGAGGGTGGCACTGCTGACTGAGATGGCGTGTTCGTGTTTGTGAGTGCGCGTGGAGAGAGAGAGAGTGAGAGAGAGAGAGAGAGAGAGAGAGAGAGAGAGAGAGAGAGAGAGAGAGAGAGAGAGAGATGTGTTCGAATGTGGACCGATATTGGCCGTAGGCAGCTGATATGCTGCTAAAGAACTCTATAGTTTTCCTGCAAGTTGTCAGTCTAAAAGTCTTCTTCTTCGTCTTGTCAATCTTATCAGTCTTCTTCTTCTTCTCCTTCTCGTCAGTCTTCTTCATTTTTTGTCAGAATGAAAGGGTCGATAAACGACGATAAGTTCATAGCATGCATGCAGCAGACATCAGAGCAAACATACACAGCACCCAACCCAGTAGGCAACATACATGCAGGGCCCCCAACCCCCAGACACCCCCCCGACCCCAGCACCCCCCCACCCAGACCGACCCCCCCCACCCAGGCCCCAGAACCAAAATTTTATTGCGGATTCGGGGTCCTCTCGCTCAGCGCAGAACGACCCCGTTTTCCAAAAAAAAATAAAAATAAATCTGGGCGTTTTTTTGGCCCGCCCGGGTAAACCGGGCGGCCCCCCCGGGCCGAGCCCGGCCGGGCGTGCCCGGCTGGGCGGCGTCCTCACCCAGCTTTTAATTCTCTTTTTTTTAATCAATTAAAAAAAATCAAAGTCATGTTTTACTTGACCACATGGGAGTGTTTTACAGTGTTCAGTGGAACAAATACGATAGCATGGTGGTGCTTGAAAAAACTCGATTGATTTGTTTGAATCCTGAACAGGAAGAAAAAAAGGAAAATTGGTGGATAGAAGACTAACAAAGAATGACAAAGGGAAGGTAAGGGAAAGTATGGAGTGTGGAAAGCAGATGAAGGCAAAGTTGAGGATAAGAATAGGCTCAAGAATGAGTCTGTCCTCGACGACAGAGAGGACATACATGGCAAGGATTGGAGGTATGAACCTGTGGAAGACCTAGCGGGGCAATTTCAGTACAACAATTGCCACGACGGCTGGCATTGAGCATGCCCACCATACACCCCCTGCAGATGGCATGTGGATTGCAGGCCAAAATGAAGGAAGAATGCTCACCACTGAAGACCATGCATTCAGTATAGCGCTCATGGCCGCAAAATGGAAACATAGTGCCCGAACGCAGAGTGTGCCTGCAGTCATGAACAGAGGGACAGTCCTGTACACCATGGATGCAGAAACCATGTCATTGTAGTGATTGTGACAGGGACGTTGGTGGCTACAGCAGAGTGTAACAGTGTTTGTAGCTGTGCAAAGGAGAAGGTCGGAAGTGTTGGTACATTGTCCTGCTGCAGCATGTGGCCAGAGGAATGATCTTCGACGCATCAATGGCAGAGGGCACGGCCTCTCCACGATCGTATTTCTTGAAGTGCCAGCCAAAGCTTGAAACTCTGCCGAGAGAACGATATGTTCATGGCAAATTTTGCAACAAGTGCTCTCTGAACCGTGCGAGATAGTCGCCCATCACATGGCTCTCTAACTCAAGTTGCCTTATTATTATGCAGTTTTGTACACAATCGTACAAAGTTGCGACATATTCAATATATCATACAATATTCCGCCATGGCCACACTCCCAGTCCCCTTGTACTAGGGATGGCTTCTCTCTATTATATTCAATAAATATGCTAGGCTGCCAGCTGTCCGATCCGGAGACGTCTCCCCGGGACGTCTCCGGGAGACTGTCAGGGGGGAGTTGTCCGGAAAATCGGACAACTGTTTTTTTGCCAAAAACGAAAAAAAAAAAAAAAAAATGGGGGGGTCTGTGCACCACTAGGGGAACCCCCCCAAAAATTTTCAGGCTGTTCCGAGCAAAAACGAAAAAAAAATTCAGATAGGGTGAGGGAGGTGTGATGGTGAGGTGTTGGGGGGGTGGATTGCTTGCGGAGTTGAAATAGAGGGCCTGCTGCTGCAGTCAGCAAATGCTGCACATGCAGCGACTGCAGCTGCTTCCGCTGACGCAGCGTGTGGACCATCCGCTTTAGCAGATGCAGCAGCTGCAGTGACAGCGGCATCCACACACACACACAGACACACACGCACACACACACACACACACACACACACATTCTATCCACACAAAAACACACACAGTGACATGCACGTGAGCACACATACACACAGTCCCACACACAAACACTATCTACGCGCACACACACACACAAACACACACACACACACTGTCTGCACACCCACCCACACCCACACAATCACACCCACACCCGCGGCCAACCACACAGAGACAGACACACATGCACACGAGCTATATTGATAAATGCATTAGTTGAACAAAGTTGCAGATCGCTGATGCGGATTCAAGCTCGAGGAGGGAATGAGACAGAAACAGAAGCAACGCACTACCAGTGCAGCAAATAGAGTACAACAACGAAATCTCTCTCTCTCTCTCTCTCTCTCTCTCTCTCTCTCTCTCTCTCTGCCGCCATGGCTGCAACCAACGCTCCACTCTCACTTAACAAATGCACATTGCATCCACCTCTCGAGACCCACTATGCCACAACTTCCCATGCACGCAGAAGAATGCACTCGACAACACCACATCCCTCTAATCTGCCATGTCGCCAGTGCCATCAGAGTTGTCATCACATCATCTCCTCCCTCAGCCTGACCTCTTTGACGAGTCTCGTCCGCGCAGTCACTGTCGGACATCTCATCTGATGTGTTGCCGTGATCATCACCATCCGGATCATCGTCCACCATGCGAGAAGAGGTTTTTTGCCTCTCTCTGCCGGCGGCTCGAGACTTGGTACGGATACCGCCTGACACACCGCCGCCTGCAGCGATCCCCTCCGCAAGATCAGTAGTCTCTGCATGAGCATCCCCCAGTGCACTCAGTGCCCATGATTGTTGCTGCTTGCCTCGTCTTCTGCCGGAGCCACGTGAGCGGCCACGTGCTCGACCGGTGCCTGCTTTGGGGCGTGCGGGGGGTGGATCCTCGCCTCCGTCGTCCTCACTCTGTCTCTTCTTCCTGCCGACACGACTCGTCTTGACATTATCGCGGATGGCTGATGGTCGTCGTGCCGACAACGGGGGCATCCCAAGTGGACTGCGCATGGCCGTGCAAATCGTCGTGGACGATGACGGCCGTACTGACGTGGGAAGACTAAAGCCCCCACTGAGCGTGGATGAGTGGGGTGAATGGATGGCTCCAGGTCCGGGCCGCGGCGGAATGCTTGTTGGACTGGTCAAGGGTACACGACTCGTCAATAACAAGCTGCGTCTCCCTCCCTGTGTCGCATGGCTGGAGCCGCGGTCGACACCACCCATGACTCCTGTAGATGCTCGCTCCTGAGCTGCCACGCGATGTGGTGACGACATGCCACATACACCAAGATCCACCCCCTGAGAGGACTGTGCGGCACGTGGGGGTAGTGGGGGAACCCCGTAGAACGAAGCTCCGGTGAGTGCGATGTGTCGTGCAATACTCTCTTGCGGGGGTTCCCTATCCCTATCCTCTATCCTCTCCTCCACCATCACACGCCCTCATCTCCGACGACATTCTCATCAGTCCTCTGGTCCACGTGGTGCTCCACACTAATATCCACCCTAACTTCCACTCTCTGCTCCACTCTCTGCTCCACCCTAGGATCTGCACCTAAGGCAGCAGATGGATGTACCCTTTGCTCCGCCCTCTGCTCCACGATTGCAGCCAAACCCACCCCCACACGTTGCTCTGCAGTCTGCACGACCATGGGACGAATGCCCTCCCTGTTTGGCGGGTGTGCTCTTGTCCAATCTCCGATCTGCGCTATGATCCACTCTCTCCTCAACCCTCTTGCCCGTCAAGTCCTGTACTACCTTGTCCACCCTCTCATCCACCGTCTGCACGACAATCTGTCTGACCCCCGGACGCTCCACACGCTTCTCTGCCACCTGCTCCACTCTCTCCCTGTGTTGTGGCCTTTGCTCCATTGCCTAAGCTGACCTATCACCCATGCTATCCTGCAGCCTCTGCTCTGCCCCGTGCACCACACCATGGTCCACGACAACCTTTGAAGACCTGTTCGTCCTGTGCACGTTGTTGGTGCAAGCAAGGGACCCTGTCGTGGCAGAAGCATGTGCCTCCAGACCTGTGGAATCGACGGTTACTGGCCCCGCATGATGAGAAGACTCTAGACGAAGGAGGCGCTGTGATGTCACGGCGCCTGATGACCTGATCTTTGTAGCCCGTGGATGTGAAGTTTACGCAAGGATGTCCTCGTGGCCGCGCTCGATGTCCTCTTCCTCTGCATCCTCTCTCGCCAATAGACCCTCCACATCAACGTGACCTCCCGCCCTGCTTCAGAGGGTTCTCATTGTCTGGAAACTGCATCCACGTACGAGTCGAAGTCTGTGTGAGGGTCCAATGTTGCCCACTCATCCATAATATCGTATTGATCCTCTGCGACCGCTTTCCCTTTGCCCCTATCCGCCTGCGCATGCTCCATCGTTTCGCGGTGCATCCATATCTCATCTTGCCATGGGGACACATCATCTGCCACACGGTCATCCGCCGATACAGATGTGATCCGGTTACGACCATCCTTGCGGCGATTAACCTTATCCATGTGCTGCCACTCCTCCTCTCCCACGTCTGCGGGGATGACATCTGCGTCGTCGATCTCCTTGGGGGGTCCTCCACCATATCTGCCCACACGTCCATATAACGACTATCTCGCCGCCTGCTCGCATTCAGAAGTTGCATGTTCCAGTGTTCGTGCGAGTTTCTCAACACTCTGCGCAGAAAGGTTGCTGCGCCTCTTCGTGTGTATGAAGTCGTGGGTCGCCCAATTGCGCTCGCAAGGAGTCATTGTGGACCACATGCCAAGCACGTTCTTCGCAATGGCTTGCAAATTTGGGAAACAGCCGCCGTGAAGCTCCCACCACAACGTTGGGTGCATGGTTTTCGATTTTGCATCCCGAGTGGCGTACTGACCCCACCAGTGAGGTCCATGCTCCGGCTAGTACCACGGATCGTCACAGTGGAAAGTCCACAAAGCCTCCCAAAGTGTGCGCATCTCATCCTCCCCAGTTCCCACCCAAGGTGCGTGCAAAGTGGTTGAGTGCGCTCTGCACAACGGGGGTCGAGCGATCCCACAACAAACTCACGTCACGCCGACGAGGGTCCAACAAATAAGTTGCAGCATGGGCAGGCTGACACATCATCGCACACCTGTCCTCCACAATCTCCATGATAGCCACCCTCTCACGCTCCTCCAAGTGCAAAGCATCAATCTTCCTCTCAAGGATTGACTGCAAATCCCACGAACTAGGCGGTGACGACCCATCACGGTCCATGTCCTTGAGGAAATTGTAACACGGCTCCATGGCGTCCATCACTCTCTTCACCTGCTGCCACCATGAATCAGATCTGCACAGTCTGCGGACCTCCGGCTCCTCAGTCCGTGCATCGCCGGCCCATCGTGCAGGTCTCCAATTATCCGATGACACCACCTCGTCAAGCACGAACCTCTGTGCCCACAGCCTCTCGAACATCATGAAAGCAGTCCTGAACCGAGTATCCGCCCGTCGTCTGAGGTCCAGCGCATGCTCCGTGCCCCGATGCAGCGCGAGCGCCCTCTGTTTGTTTCTCATGAACTTCACCATCTTGTGTGACCGCGTCATGACCAATCTAGCCCAAGGCTGTGCAGCAATGTCCCTCAACAACAAGCTCAGGCAATGTGCTGCGCACGGGATCCAAGGTATGCGTGCAATGGCGTGGTCGGGGTGGGAATGCAGAACATCGGCCGCCGCCTTCATGACCTCCACATTGTTAGTGCAAATCGCATTCACATTGTGGACCCCAATGTCATCCCGTATGACACTCTCCCATATGTCCGCTAAACTGACGCCTGTCTTGTCCCTGTCTGACATGTCGATGGTACGCATGAGGTCCAGACTGCCCTGCTGCTATGAAGTTCATGATGGGCTTGTTCCTTTGGTCCGTCGCCCCGTCCGTCATCAACGTGCATCCGGTGTCCGCCCGCTTTGCCTTCTTCGGGGCAATGAGTGTTGCGACCTCGTGATAGATAATGTGCAGCATCCTTGTTCGGAGTCCCTCATACGTCAGCAGTTGGGGCACTGGCACAATGGATGCACGCAAGAGTGTGACAATGTAATCCCAATAATCCTGCGTCTCCTTCAACCGCATCCAGTTGAAGGAAACACCGCCTCGATACATGGCAAGTGCCAAGAGACGATCGAGATCCTTTTGCACCTTGTTCCCTATGAAAGGATCCAAGGTCGACTGCCTCGCTTTCAACGCCACATTTGTGGATGCAACCTGCCTGCCAGGAGTCGTTGTCGCCCCTCCCCCAACAGCTGGAGCCGTCATACCGACGAGTGACCGCAAGCGATCGCGCCCATCATTTGAATCACGTGTATGCACTGGCAGCTCCTCAACACGATCATTTGCATCACCTCTGCCCTGGTCTGTGGCAGGGACCTGTGTCTGTTTGACAGGCTCATCCGGCAGGACACCACCCTCACCTCCGTACATGTCATCCATAGCCATCGCCCCCTCCAACGCATGCGCATGCTCCGCGGTCAATCTTTGTGAAAGCGGGTCCTTAAGCGTTGCCCCTGCCCGCTGCAACCGCCACAAGATCTCGCCGGTTCGTCGTGGGCAGCGTGCCTTTTGTTTTGTGAAGTGCTAGACTCCTCTGGATCTGGAACCGGGAAACACCTCGTCGTACAGGCGACACCGCATCAAGAAGTTGCCGCCACCAACTAAATCGTGGTCCTGACCCCTCTCAATCCACTCCCACACTGCATGCAAACGCTTCAAGTCCGCTTGTTTCCATTCGAGCAGAGGATCGAAGGCGGGATATGTGGTGCCCAAACGATGTTACTCGCCGCAGCCATCGTGCACGGGATACTGACGTGACAGGAAAGACAATGACAAATCCGGATGTGGAGTGTCGATGGACGGAGTCACAAAAGTAGTGGAACACGATGTTGCTGTTCCGCACCAGTTACCGGCTCAGGCATGCAGCAGGTGTACAAGCTGCATCTACGAAGGAAGAAAAGCAATGCGTTAGAAACTAAGAGCATGATGCATAGAAGTAGTAGAATAAACTAAGAGTGTGATGCATATTCACGTAACAACAAATGACGCTGCAGAAGGCGTCGACAAAGAAGTAGTAGAAGTCTTTTCTATTTATCTATCTATCTATCTATCTATCTATCTATCTATCTATCTATCCATCTATCCATCTACCTACCTACCTATCTATCTACCTACCTACCTACCTTCCTGTCTATCTACTTATCTATCTAATATCTATCTATCCATCTATCTATCTATCTCTCTATCTCTCTACCTACCTACCTATCTATCTATCCATCTGTCTAGTTGCCTATCTACCTGCCTATCTATCTACCAACCTCTCTACCTACCTATCTATCTATCTATCTATCTACCTATCCATCTGATCTATCTATCTTATCTAACCTATCTAATCTATCCATCTATCTATCTACCTACCCGTCTATCTATTTGTCTGTCTACCTACCTACCTATCTACCATCTACCTAATCTATCTATCTATCTATCTATCTATTTATCTATCTATCTATCTATCTATCTCTCTACCTACCTACCTATGTATCTATCTATCTATCTGTCTACCTACCCATCTACCTGCCTATCTATCTATGGAGAAGAACGAGTCAGGGGATGACAGCGATAAGGATGAGCAAGAGGAGGGCAAAGAGGTGAGGAGCACGCCGACAAGGAAGAAGAGGAGGAGGAGGACGATGGGGAGCGGGCCGAACATCCACTGTCACCGCTCGGTCTCATCGACCCCCCCCCCCCCCCCCCCCCCCCCCAATTCCAAAAAAAGTTTTCTTTGGAAGAGACTCGAGCAATCAATCAATCAATCAATCAATCAATCAATCAATACAATCAATCCATACAGTTAATCAATCAATCAATCAATCAATACTGTTACGATCCTGGCCAATTTCGAAGTATACATTCATCTGAAAGTACAATGCCATCCAATTGCAAAAAGAAATGAATGAACTTGAGAGGAAAGAGAGGGAAAGAAGAAGTAAAAGAAGTGAGAAAGAGGAAGATGATGATGTACTCCAGCATAGACCAATGTCAAGGCTCTTCTTCTTCGCCAACCAATCCCTTCCTCCTCCCTCTTATTCAAACAAGAAATAACAATAATAATGTTGAATGACTGGACGAGAATCAATGTCCGAATCCCACTTCTACTGCAGGCATAACATGAGGTCCACCATAGCCATGGCAACCCTTCCTCTCCGTCTCACATACAGGCCGAGGCTATGGCGGACTACTGAGGCTTCAGCCTCCTGTCCAAAGGACAACCCAAAGCAGCTATGTCGCTGCCCCACTTCAAGGTCATCACCAACTATGCCGCTGCCCACTCAGCCACCATGCCTGACTCTGTCCCGAACTTCCTTGATGCGGCACTACCCCCACTGGGGCCTTCCTGATGCAGCGCCTAGCAAGGAGATGAAGATGGTGTCTACCATAGTCAGTAAGTGCCTCGCCACTCTCCTCCTTGGTCCCCTTCTCCCTCCTCCTACCGGTAGAGCTCCACCATAGCCAAGGTGGAAGCTCCCGACTTCTTCCTCCCAGCAGCGCTGTAGTACCCAGCGCCACTCCAGCCAGCGCTCCAGCAGCGTGTCGCCAAACTTGCACACTGAAGAATGAGGCTGGGCTCTCCGCCCGGCCTCTTGATATAGCGGCCTACTTGCCTCCTGGGCGGTGACTTCCAGGCCGCTCGACCTCCCCAAGCAACCGGTACTTCCTCCGTTTGGGAGGGAAACATCATTGCAGACCCTGATATTGCCCGTACAGGCTCTAGACTCAGACTGGTTGGACTGGTACTGACCTACCCTACCGCTACTGGACTCTAAAAATGCCAACTTTGTCTTCTTCTGCTCGGCCTCCAGTACCCCCTCACGCCAATTGCACTGAGGTGCAGTATTAGCCTACCTGCCCACTTGAGTGTTTTTCCGCTACCCCAAGGGCCGCGGGGCCGCTAGCTTCGCCACTTGAGTGTTCCCCTTGCTGCAACCCTCAACGCCACGGCCGGGCCTGCCAAACGAGTAAGTACCCTTCCGGGTCACACACACACTCAGGCAGATAAGCACTCAGACAGGCACGCAAGTCCACAGGCACGCACGCACACACACAGACTTAGAAAACACAGCAAAATGCGGGAATCTCAGCAAGGCATCCATTCCATCAGCAGAACTTCAGAAATCAGCAGTGTTCTCAGTCTGTGTTATGACGGGTCATTACAATACAATCAATCAATCAATCAATGGGGATACTGTCAAATCGATTGATTCGATAGGATCTTGATCAAGATCCTATTGAATCAATCGATTCGACGGGATTGATTGATTGAGATATTGATTGATTGATTGATTGATTGATTGATTGATTGTATTCATTGATTGATTGATTGATTGATTGACTGATTGCTTGATTGCTTGCTTGCTTGCTTGCTTGATTGATTGATTGATTGAGTGTGGGAAAAACAAAACAAAGAGGGGAGGGGACAATATAACGTCAACAACCATGGCGAGAATGTAGGGATGGCGATGCGGCTGCAGCGGTTAGGGAGGACGGGGCATAACATGAAAGGAATGACGAAGATGAAGAGGAGGAGGAGGAGGAGGATAAGGCGGGGGGAGGATGACAGGAAAACAAAAGCGATGGCCGAAGACGACGAGGGCAATGTCAAGGACGAGGAGGTCGAAGAAGAAGACGAAAAAGCACAGTGCCGAAAAGGACGAGGTAGGGGATGGCGGCGACAAGGATGAGCACGAGGAGGGGGAAGAGTTGAGGAGGACGCTGGGGAGGAAGAGGAGGAGCAGGAGGACGACGACGATGGGGAGCGGGCAGAACCCCCACCATCATCGCGAGGTGACCCCAACCCCCCCCCCCCCCCCTTTCCCCCCCCCGCTTTTTTTTTTTTTTCCAAATCAATCAATCAATCAATCAATCAATCGATACAATCAATCTATCAATCAATCAATCAATCTATCAATCAATCAATCAATCGGGATCCCGTCGAATTGATTGGTTCTATAGTGGGGGCGGAAACGGGGGGTGGAGATGGAGGATGGAGATGTAAGTGATGAGGATTGGGATGGCGGGGTAGGGTTAGCGCGATGGGGAATGGGCCGATGGAGTAGGTAGTGCGACATGGAGTAGGTAGTGCGACACGGTGAGGAGGTGGTGCGCTCGTGGAAAGCGCAATCAGGCGGGTTGAAAGGGGATCAATGTCGGAGGGTGGTGAGAGGGATCTGGGGCGCACTGTGCAAGTGGGGACGTGCGCGATGAAGGGAAGAAGTCGGGATTGGGAACGGGAGCATGGAATCGGACGCGATTGGGGGGAAGAGCGAGCAAGTGGGAAAAGGGAAGCAGGATCAAGAGGACGAGGAGGAGGTGACAACGGTGGTTAAGGTCGACAAGAACGAGGAGGAGAAAGAAGAGGAGGACGAGGATGACGACGTTGACGAAGAGGGTGCTGTGGCGATGGACAAGGAGGAGGAGGAGGAGGAGGAGGAGGAGGAAAAGGAGGACGACGACGATGGGGAGGACAACGAGATAGAAGAAGAAGAGGAGGTGAAGGACGATGATGCGGAGGAGGAGGAGGAGGACGAGGAGGAGGAGGAGGAAGGCGAGGACGGCAAGGATGGCGTGGAAGAAGAGGAGGAGGAGGAGGATGGGGAAGATAAAGAAGAGGAGGAGGAGGAGGAGGAGGAGGAGGAGGAGGACATCGAGGAGGATGACGACGAGGATGAGGACGCCGAGAATGACGAGGAAGACATCGAGGTAGAAGACGAAGAAAGGGGGGGGCTGGGAAGGGAGGAGGAGGAGGAGGAGGAGGAGGAGGAGGACAACGAGGAGGAGGATGACGACGATGAGGACGCCGAGAATGACGAGGAAGAAGAGGAGGACAAGGAGGAAAAGGATTATGGGGAAGAGAAAGAAGAAGAGGAGAAAGAGGAGGAGGAGGTCGACGACGACTGCTAGGAGGTGGACATCGAGGTAAAAGAAGAAGATCTCTGCGATCAACGGCCCAGATCGGGCCGATTTCAAATTTGAATTCCGAGGCCGCGACGCTTTCTCGCACGCGACTTCGCCTTGCCCTGACAGTGGAGTTCGACGTTGCAGTTGCCGAACTCCGACGCCCAACGGCCGAAACCCATGCGCCATCGACCGCCGGCGCCAGGTGAGTTTGCTTCCCTTCGTCCTCCACCTCCTCCTCCTCCTCCTCCTCCTCTTTTCTTCCTCGTCTTCCTCCTCCTCCTCCTCCTCCTCTTCTTCTTCCTCAGGAGGAGGAGGAGGACGACGACGAGGACGAGGATGAGGAGGAGGTCGACGGCGACTACTAGGAGGTGGACATCGAGGTAGAAGAAGAAGAAGATCTCTGCAATCGACGACCCAGATCGGGTCGATTTCAAATTCGAATTCTGAGGCGCTGCGGCGCTCTCTCGCACACGACTTCGCCCTGCCCTGTCAGTGGAGTTCGGCGTTGCGGTTGCCGAACTCCGACGCCCAACGGTCGGAACCCACACGCCATCGACCGCCCGCGCCAGGTGAGTTTGCTTTCTTCGTCCTCCACCTCCTCCTCCTCTTCTTCTTCTTCCTCTTCCCCATCCTCCTCCTCCTCCTCCTCCTCTTCTCCCTCCTCCTCCTTGTCGTCCTCATCGTCGGTATCCTCTAAAAGATGTTAAAAAAAAAAAAATTAATAATAATAATAATATTTTTTTTATTGACAATTTTATTTTACATTTGGGAAAGAATTTCAATGCGACCCTGAGGCAAAAGTTGTTCAGACAGTTCAATTTATCTTTTGCGAGGCATAGGGCCTCGATATGCCCTACAGGGCCCAATTTTCACACAGTCGGCCGCCCTAAGTGAAGGCAGGCACGACCGAGGCCCTACAGGCCATTTCASGGTCACCACGCAACTGGGGAAATTCAGGCAGTTGYGCAGCGCCAGTCGGTTGGAAGCACCCAGGCSCAGGCCGCCTTTCATKGCRTGTAACYGAGGCAGGCCCTGGGCSGGATAMACAAAGTGGACCGAACAAAGGCCGAGTGCAGTTGGGTGCCGGTAATCGGCTCAGGCCCTGGGCCTGTTTCCTTCGGACTGAGGCTCAACCTCCTTGGGCCTACCAGAAGCTTCTGGGCCGGGGCCCAGTACCGCAGCACAGCATGCAGCAGCAGGCCACTTCGATATAGGGAAGGGCCTGCCCACGCATTGGACATTCGGGCACTGGCTGCTTTGTGCGCAAGCGCTGCTGCGCTAACGCTTGCCAGGCTCACGCGCTCACGGGCGAGCTGGAAGGAGCAGGCAGCCATAGCCGAGCTGCGCTGCTGTATGCTGGATGGGGCGCATAGTGGTCCTTGGGTGCAAGTGGCATCTGTGAGTTGGGGAACGAGGTTGTGAGTGATACAAGAGACATACCTGGTGCTTGACACGGGCGGCATTGGCCAAGGTCTGCTTTGTACTTGGGAAGTTGTTGATGTCATCAACGATATTGTAGTCTAGGCTAGATAGGATCTGCCATTCGTAGTCTAGGCGCCGAGCGCAAGATAGGATATCAACATTGGTTCTTCGTTGATGATGATGAGACTATTCCAGCATTGTCAATTATGAGCTTTTGGTGTGCTCTTATTTGGTGAAACTCGTGATGCGATTCTGCTTTTGGTTCGAGGTCACGACTATCTAGTCTGATGTGTATAATGTTGTTTGATTGCCGAAGTTCGCTATTCACCTTCCTTGCAATTTGGTATCAGAGTTGTGGTTCGGTGCGCTAATCTGGCGCTTATCTTCTGCCTAATGCGGTACATGCACGTGGTGTGTGAGGTGAGCGACTGTGCCGTGGGACATGTGTAGTGAGGAGGGCGGAGATAAGTAGGCGACCCAGGTGGTGAGGGGTATCACCAGGAAGGCTGTGTGGTGTGATTATTGGGTGTTCGCAGTGTGATGAGAACTATCCAGTGTGTGATTGATGCTGAGGTGGAACGGTTGTGCAATGCTGGTTGTGCCGAAGCAGCAATTGGTCATCACAATCATCATCGGGTCATCTGGTGAGAATATCCGTGGTTGGGGCAACTATTTTGAGGTACGTTGCACCTAACCTTATCTACCCTCTTCGATATTTCTTACCGTGAGGATGTGTTCTGTCTTCAGAGTCCTCTCATGTGAGGAGTTGTGTGCGCTCAACCTTGAGAGTCGTCAGCCTTCACGTGGAGCATCTGGAAGGAGAGGGCGGAGCTATCTGAAGGGCCCTGGACGAAGCACCGGGTCACGGTCACCATGCGAACCCACCGGGAGTAGAGCACGCATGCTTTGCTGCTTTGTCCTTTGTCTGCTTGCTGCGGTGTAGAGGGGTTTTGAAGGGCAGGCCAGCCCTAGGGGACAGAAGAGACCAGGCGTGTATAAATAAGCACCGGCGGGATACCTTCCGTTGGCTGTGATCGTCGTCATGTTTGCGACGTTAAAAAATTCCTGAGGACTTCGGGGGCCGTCCATAAAAACACCTCCCGATCAGCCAATCGGTCGGTGTAAGGCTCGCTGCACGCGAGGATAAAAACTGTGCAGGGCTGGCTAGTTCAGCAGGACTCGGGGCACAGGGGTGGGCCATGAGCACACCTTTAGACACGCACACTATCTGGATTGCTCAGGGACGTTGACGACAAGAAACATTCAAGAAGAATTGAGGGAGGGGTAGATTCGAGGTGATAAGTTCGGGCCAACAAACGATTTTATTTTTATTTTGATTAGTTAGATGTACATCCATTAACATCTGACAGATAGCATAAGTTAGAACTGATTTCTGTTCCTTGTGCTTTCTGTTTGTGGACTAGTCAAAGTAAACTACTTTTCGTTTGTAGGAATCTGAACTTACCTGTTGAACCCGAATGGATAGTCTCTGACACAGCCACCAATTATTTATTTATTTAGTTTTAGTTGGTCTGTGCACTAAACTGCGGTAGGCATCTAGAGTGTCCTAGTGCAGATTGTGTATAGTGTTGTAGCTTATGAGTGACAAGGAGGTTCCACAACCGGACGACCGGATCTTCCGATGGGCTAGACGCCCGGTTGCCCACGTGGCGTTAGGACCAATGGGTGACAGGTTACTATTCCGCCAACTTAGGGAGAGGCAGCAGCAGCAGAGGAGAGCTAGAGCAGCTTAGGCCAGGAGGGCGTTCGTAAGCGAAGCCGCAGCTTCAGCAGCCATGGCCACTTCTGCGCAGCAGAGTTCCCAGGCGAGCGGTCCAGGGACCGTAGGGTCAATGATTGCGCACACCCAGAGTCAGTCAACTAGTTGGCTTAATGGCAAGCCAGCCGTTAGTGACGACTCCCGAGGAGGTCGCCATACAGCAAGTTGCTGATCGCGAGGCACAGCTACGCCAGGCTTTGGGAGATATTAAGGCAGAAAAAGAAAGAATGATTAGAAGAAGAGCCAGGATGCAGCGGAGGCAAGCGGACTCAGTGAGTTAGAGGAGGTGGACCCTGCAAAGTTGGAGGACGATGTGAGGACCATACGGTCGGTCTTACTAAGTGTGGTAGAGATGCAAGATCAGCAGATGGAGATCTTACACGACATCCAGCAGAGTCTGGCTGTGTTAGTCGGGCGAGTGCAGGCGGCACCATCTCCGTCCGGGCCCGGTGCCTGGTCCGTTGTACATCCTCCTCCTTTTGTCCCACCGGTGATTGAGGTATCCCCATATGCATGCCCAACATTGGTTCAGCCCGTTTCCCTAGGTATGCCTTTGACAGGCGGGTTCTTAGCAGAAAAAGAAAGAATGATTAGAAGAAGAGCCAGGATGCAGCGCAGGCAAGCTAACGTTAGTGCCTTAGAGGAGGTGGACATTGCAAAGTTGGAGGAAGATGTGAGGACCATACGGTCGGTCTTACTAAGTGTAATGGAGATGCAAGATCACCAAATGGAGATCTTACACGACATCCAACAGAGTTTGCCTGTGTTAGTCGGGCGAGTGTAGGCGGCACCATCACCGTCCAGGCCCGATGCCTGGTCCGTTGTACATCCTCCTCCTTTTGTCCCACCTGTGACTGAGGTATCCCCATGTACATCCCCAGTATTAGTTCAGCCCGTTTCCCTAGGTATGCCTTTGACAGGCGGGTTCTCAGCAGGTCCTAGTTTGCAGGTTCCTATACAAACAGTGTTCTCCCAACCTTAGTCTCAGGTCGTCGTAAGCGGGCAGCCTGCTGTCTCGCAGCCTGCACAACTGCAGGGTACTCAGCCCCAGCAGTCAGTGCAGCAGCCTGCAGCATAGGGTCCACAACCCGGAGTGATGCAGGGACCGGGACAAAGTCAGTGGGTACCAAACACGACAATCGCGGCTCCTAAACCCTTCACAGGGGATAAGAGGGGCGAAGACCTCGACACTTGGTTGAGGGCAGTGCCAGTCTATGTTAAGTGTAAACTTACCTTGCCACACGAGGAAGTGCTTGTGGCTGCATCCTTCCTAGAGTGCAGCGAGATGGTTGAGTGGCTTAGTGCAGCTCCAGGGGTACGGTCATGACTTTCTCGCTTGGGCAGTCGACCACAAACTGGAGGACTTTCTCAAGATGGTGGAAGATAGGTGGCATGATCCTCAGGAGGCCCAAAAGGCCCATGACACGATCCTGACACTGCATACAAGGCAGTTTAAGTCGGTAAGGGAGGCCACTGACGCAGTAGAGCGTCTGATCTATGTCCCTGGGGTGCGCTATGACCCCCAGGTATTACTTACCTCCTACCTGAGATGCTTTCCCATGCCTCTCAGGAACCAGTTGGCAGGTGAGGCCAACATCAATATGCACAACTTTCCCTCGTTTAGCAAGAAGGCCCTAGACCTCGAAGCGAAGATAGGGCATGGGTAAACACCCACGACGGATGGTAAGAAAAAGACACTGCCTCCCAACTGGAAGGCGAAGGGCGACATTATGTTCGTCGACAATGATGGTTCAACCATTGAGTAGGATGACTTGTTCCAGGCGGGAATAGGTTCAGAGGCTTGCAGCGTAGAGGCTTCAGGGGGTGGAGATGTCGTCGTCGTAGCTCAAAAAGGAATGGCGACCAGAAGACGCCGTGGAGGATCCTGGTCAAGGAGTCAAGTCGACCCCAACGCTCCTCCATGGGAGAAAGCGGGTCTCACAGAGGACGTGTGGAGAGACAGGTACACCCGACAGGCCTGTATTCATTGTGGTCAATATGGCCACAACCAATTCAAGTGCCGCAATAAGAAGGTGATAGAGAAGATCTCGCATACGGTGGGACAGGCGTTGGGATCCTCCACTCCCGTTGGTAGCAATGTGGCTAGCAGTTCTGGCACTGCTCCGGGAAACACGTCGGGCCAGTGGGAATAGTAGTTGTTCCTGTTAGGGTCGAGGTGGTGGACACACTCTCACCATCTCGAGAGATGGCCCAAGCTACTGACTCCATAGTCGTCCCACAAATACGTTCAGACCCATCGAGCCTCTATTCAATGAATGTGTTTGAATCCTTAGAGGAGCTAGAGGAGGAGTGGTCTAGATCAGACCCGTTAGCTTCTTGGACAGCATTAGCCACAGCCCCTAAGGGTGAGATGTTCATCAGCGAGGTAGTCGTCGGCGGCCGCAAGGCAAGGGCCTATTATGACACTTGCTCGACTAGGAACTTCATCGGTCGCACTTCGTTGAGAGGCTGCGCTTACAGGGGCAAGTGCAACGCCTGAGTCGACCTGTGCCACCAAACAGCGCGTGGTAGTTAATGACTACCTATGGGATGTCGAGTGTTGTTTCCCGTACGTGGTTGGAGAATTGAGACATCGCGTCTCGTTCCTAGTAAGTGATGATCTCCTCATGGATATCTTGTTAGGTATGTACTACCTCTCCGTGGCACAACCCCAGTTTGATTGGGATCGAAAAGTGGTCAAACACACTTTGCCAGGTGGAGGGGCCGCCAGATTACATAAGTTCAAAGCTAGTAGTATGATTGAGTCCCACGGATGCATGTGTGCGGCCGCGTTCTATAATCATTATAAGCAAAATCCGGAGGAGGGTATGTATCTAGTTTATGTCTCTGCAGCAGGCGAACCGGTGAAAATGTCGTCGGAGATAGAGGGAGTAGTTGCCAAGTACCCTGATCTATTTGAAGAGCCTACAGGGGTTGTTGAGAGGGAGGTAGTTCACGCGATAGAAATTATCCTAGGGTCTAGCATCCCAAAGGGTAGGATCTATTAGATGTCTCCAGGCGAGCTTGATGGGCTTCGTCGACAACTCAAGGAACTCATAGAAAAGGGTTGGATCCGACCGAGTGTTTCTCCTTACGGGTCTCCAGTCCAATTCGTATCGAAGAAGAAAGGAACACTGAGGATATGCATTGACTATAGGGGCCTCAATGCCATCACTGTCAACAACAGAGAGCCCCTATCGAGCATCGACAATTTGCTAGATAGAGTGCAAGGGTGTTGGTACTTCAGTAAGATAGATCTGAAGTCCGGGTACCATCAGATTGCAATCCGGCCCGAGGATCAACACAAAACTGCATTTCAGACCAGGTACGGTTTGTACGAGTTTGTGGTGAGGCCTTTCGTCCTTTGCAATGCTCCTCACCTTTCAGCAGGCTATGAATCGGATATTTCACGACTACTTGGATAAGTTTGTCATTGTGTACCTCGACGACATACTTATCTTTAGTAAGACTGTCAAGGAGCAGGTTGCGCACTTGGACAAAGTCCTTAGTCTTCTTCGACAGCACTAGTTCAAGATTAACGGTGAGAAGTGCGAGTTTGGCCGCACCCGTGTCTTGTACTTGGGTCATGAGATTTCCACGGAAGGATTGAAGCCCGATGACGCGAAGGTGGCCAACATCGTAACTGGCCGCGTCCTAAGTCTGTGACTTAGATGAGGTCCTTCTTAGGGATGACAGGCTACTACCACAATTTTGTTTAGAATTACAGCATAGTGGCCGTCCCTTTGACGGACTTGACTCGCCTTGACACCCCATGGGAGTGGACAGACAGGTTGCTTTCAGACAATTGAAGCATGCGTTGACACACCATGAGGTCTTGAAACTTCCTGATCCTGACAAACCTTTCGTAGTAACTACGGATGCTAGCCAATATGGCATAGGCGCCGTACTTGCGCAGCAGGAGGGGAAAAAGTTGAGGCTGGTAGAGTACATATCCAAAAAGATGCCCTCTCAGAAGTTGGCTAAGTCCACCTATGAGAAGGAACTCTATGTGATCTACAAAGCGCTCACCCATTGGAGGCACTATCTTCTTGGGAGGTTCTTCTATGTCAGGAATGATCACTAGACCTTGAAGTGGATGAGAACCCAGCCTGTGCTCTCCGACGCTCTGAAGCGTTGGATTGAAGTCATAGAGCAGTATGACTTTGAGCCCCAATACATCAAGGGCGAGTACAACAAGGTTGCTGATGCGCTGTCGCGTAGACCAGATTTCTCTGGTACGCTGATCACCGAGTTTGGGCTTACGGACGATGTTACTCGCTCTGTGGTGGAAGCCTATCGCGAGGGCCAGTTTATGTCTGAGATCATACGCAGACTCGAGGCGAAGGACAAGTGACTTCTGCCGAGTTTGAGTTAGTCAACAGACTGCTGTTCCTTGAGAAGGCAGGGAATAAACGTATGTGTGTGCCAGATAGGGAGTCTTTGTGTAGTTTATTTCAAGGCGAGTGTCATGATGCCACCGGACATTTTGGCTTCAAGAAGACTGCAGCCAATTTGCTGCAGCGGTTCTGGTGGCCCATGATGATGAGAGATGCCAAGTTGTACGTGGAGAGTTGTCAGGTCTGTCGAAGAGACAAGCCCCGTACACAGGCCCCTCTTGGGCTCCTCAAGCCCCTTCCAATCCCGGAAAGGCCCGGTGAGAGCCTATGGACTTCATGGACACGCTGATCACCAGCGAGAGTGGAATGGGACACATCTTTGTTATTGTGGATAGGTTTAGTAAGTACGCTAGGTTAGTTGCAATGCTGGAGACAGCGAAGACTGAGTATGTGATTAGACTCTTCAAAGAGAACTGGGTCAGAGACTTGAGGCTCCCAAAGTCTATTGTGAGTGACAGGGATGTCCGATTCACAAGCGAGTTGTGGAAGGCTGCAGCTCCAAAACAGGGAACACAGCTGCAGATGACTTCTGGGAACCATCCCGAGGCCAATGGCCAAGCAGAGCAGCTTAACCGCGCTGTACAACACCTGTTGCGGCATTACATCAAGCCCAATCAGGTGGACTGGGATGAGAAACTTGCCCTCATCGCCAGCCTGTATAACAATGTCGTGCACAGCGCAACTGGAGTAAGTCCTAACAGTCTGCTACTGACTTTGAAGCCTAGACTGCCTCTAGACTTTCTGCTACCTGACAATCAGTTTGCCTATCGCTATGAACAACTGATGCAGGAGGCAGTAGAACAGATGCATAAGGCACAGGCCGCAATGATAGAATCTGAGAACAAACACCGCCGCCTTTCTACATTTCAGGTAGGGGACAGAGTCTGGGAAAATCCTCAGAACTGGGACAAGAGCACGGGATGTCCCGTAAGCTCATGCCACAGTACTTTGGACCATGGGAGGTTCTAGATGTTGTTGGGGAAGATCCGGATGGGCCATCCTATGTTATCCGGATCCCTGGTCATCTCCGCACTGTCTTTCACGCCTCCAAGCTTGTGCAATTGAAGGAAACTAACCAGTTTCCCTCTCGCCGCTCTATGCTGCTCCCAACCATGGATGGAAAGTCGACATCGACGACATCGTTGATCACAGGGAGATGCCAGTTCCAAGACCAACAGGTAGAGGACGTCCTCCGAAACCGAAGCTGCAGTACCGGGTTCGGTTCAGACATCACACTGATCCAGAGGAGGATAGATGGTTGACACGGGAGGAACTGATGCAGACCGCTCCACAGGTCGTCGCTCACTATGAGAAGTCTCTGCAGAAAGGAGAACGCCAGATTATCGAAGATTGAACTTCTCAGAGGACTCTCGAAGCATGGAGGAGGGAATGTGAGGCATAGGGCTTTGATATGCCCTACAGGGCCCAATTTTCACACAGTCGGCCGCCCTAAGTGAAGGCAGGCACGACCGAGGCCCTACAGGCCATTTCAGGGTCACCACGCAACTGGGGAAATTCAGGCAGTTGCGCAGCGCCAGTCGGTTGGAAGCACCCAGGCGCAGGCCGCCTTTCATTGCATGTAACTGAGGCAGGCCCTGGGCCGGATACACAAAGTGGACCGAACAAAGGCTGAGGGCAGTTGGGTGCTGGTAACCGCCTCAGGCCCTGGGCCTCTTTCCTTCGGACTGAGGATCAGCCTCCCTGGGCCTACCGGAAGCTTCTGGGCCGGGGCCCAGTACCGCAGCACAGCATGCAGCAGCAGGCCACTTCGATATAGGGAAGGGCCTGCCCACGCATTGGACATTCGGGCACTGGCTGCTTTGTGCGCAAGCGCTGCTGCGCTATCGCCTGCCAGGCTCACACGCTCACGGGCGAGCTGGAAGGATCAGGCAGCCATAGCTGAGCTGCGCTGCTGTATGCTGGATGGGGCGCATGGTGGTCCTTGGGTGCAAGTGGCATCTGTGAGTTGGGGAACGAGGTT